TGGGGAAATTCCAATGTAACAGCAGCAAAGTGGATAGAGAGAAAACAGTATAAATAAACAGTAAGAATAGGGAAATAATAAAAAACACTATGTACTAGATATATATATATTGCCCTCACAGATTTCATTGAAAACACCTTTGCAACTTTATCAGCTGTGTTTTGTAATCTCAATTACTGCAATAAACACATATTTATGAAACCTCTGGCAGCATTTTGACAAGCAGTCTTCATTAGCATAGCAATATAACACTTGTCCTGAGTAATAATACTACCACTTGAATCAATATAAAAAGACTGTTGCAATTACAAACAGCCAACAGATTTAAATGAAATAAGAAATGACAATATATATGTAATATTTTAATGCAGGATAATTAAAATGATGCAACATACTTAGAAAGACCATGGACACGCTGTAAAACACATTAATTCCTCACAGGACTGACGTTGGAAATACAGGTGAATCACTAGGATTAATCTTAGCCTGGCTGTTAGCCTGGTCTGGAGCAGGCTAACACCAGAGAATAAATCACCATAGTAACTTGGCCGGGATAAGTTTGACCTGCTTTCATGCAACCGACTTGAGGCTAAATTCAGCCAGGATAACCAACATATCCCGGCTTAATCCCTTATCTTGGTTTTGTGCAATACCCCTCTGGTGTGTGTGTGTGTGTGTGTGTGTGTGTGTGTGCGTTACGATGTGTGTGTGTGTGTGTGTGTGTGTGTGTGTGTGTGTGTGTGTGTTACGGAGTGTAAATGAACTTGATCAACGTGCACTGGAGTTAACAATAGAGCTCCAGTGAGAGAGAAACAGTCAAACTGCAGGGATTCATTAGTTTAGTAATATTGTGTAACTTTGATCAGCACCCAGCAGCTGGGGTTGCTCACTAGGCTTTATGTGGAGTCAAACCGACGAATAAAAGTTTTCTGATCCATTTATTTAGCGTTACTGAAGTACTGCTATTACTGACGATATAAGTGTAGGTCCAGTGTAACATCCTATACTCATATAATCTCCTATTGTATTATAAACACTGAGGCTCACTGCTGAATGTCTGTTATTGCACCGGGAACTTGTTCCAACATCAGTTACACTCAGTAAATGTCCTGTGTGTGTGTGTGTGTGTGTGTGTGTGTGTATCTGCTGCCATTAGATAGACATTGTGTTGGTAACCTCAGACTGTTTCAACAACACATCACTACAGTTAGCTGCAACAAGGAACCACCAGAGACACTGCTTATTATTTTAGATTATAACTGAGGACTACTGTGAGCCACAATGAGCTGTTGTACTGTATTATATTATACTGTATATTATATTATACTGTATTATATTACACTGTATATTATATTACACTGTATATTATATTGCACTGTATATTATATTATACTGTATATTATATTATACTGTATTATATTACACTGTATTATATTACACTGTATATTATATTACACTGTATATTATATTGCACTGTATATATTATTATACTGTATATTATATTATACTGTATTATATTATACTGTATGTTATATTACACTGTATTATATTACACTGTATATTATATTATACTGTATATTATATTATACTGTATATTATATTACACTGTATATTATATTATACTGTATTATATTATACTGTATATTATGTGCTGCCTTACAAGTTACACTGAATCTTCCATGTTTTACAGGTGAGCTGATGAAGCTCAGGTGTTCCTGGACCCATCAGAGGACAGAGACAGCTGCAGCATCAGGACAGTCTGGGTATCCAAAGGAAGACTGATGAAGATGAACACTGACTGCAGAGCTCCATTACCAGCTCACACTTCAATATACTAGAAACCATAAACCTTGATGGAGAACATGATCTGCACAGTTTACATAAAAGTTATAGCTTTGTTACTTGTAATGTTACTTGTAACTGGAATATGAATGAAACATAAATAAAATGTTTTACTTTTAAGAAGAGTTTTGGTTATTTTTAAATTCAGTAATAAGTGTGGTTTTATATAAATAACATGTTATTTCAGGTTTTATGAAGATTTCCTGGATGTACAAGAGTTGAAAACCTGATTCGTGTAACATCTATCAATATGAAAATGTGGAATTTAAACCTGTATTAATGACTGTAAGCAACACAATACATTACTGTCTCACATTCAAACTTTATTATGTTGGAAGATAAATTACAATATATAATATAAATGATAGAATATTCAGTATACAGTATTTTTAATGGGGTTCAAACATAATTGCAGCTTTTACAAATACCTGAAGGTGAACTTTGGTAATAATACTTTTAAGTTAAAATATCAGAATATGAAATATGGATACAGTACCGTTAACAGTTGGTTACTTGGCAGTTTTTAACCACATGAACAAGTTACTTTATTAGAAGAGTGATTCCTTCAGTTATGTTGACATGTTGTACAGGATAAAGTATTCCAGGTTTCTGTTTCCATGGTCTCAGAAAACTAATGTGTATAAAGAATATAACAGATGGGAGGTTACAGTAATCATTATACTATTACTCTGATTACTTTGGTACATTTACTGGCTGTTTCTTCACTAGAAACAACTGCTTGACTAATGTTGTTAATATTATGTAATATATAATATGTTTAACTTCACTGGGCTGTGTAGACTGTAGGTCACTGCTCACTGCTGTACCTGGAAAGACATAAAACACAGTGTTGGTTCTCATAGTTAAGGTATAAACACTAAAATTATGTGATAGATAGAGGTTAATATATATATATATATATATATATATATATTAGTTATATATATATATATATATATATATATATATATTAGTTATATGTATGTATATGTAGTTAATATATCAGTATTTACCTGAGGAAAACGTCACAGAAAGCTGTAATCCTGATTGTTGATGTTGTTCATTTCTCTGTGATTTCAGGTCAGACTCCCGCTCTAACATGTCCGCTGGTGAAGTTTTTGCTTTAGAAGCAGTTATTGAATTAATATTGACGGTAGAAAAGCAGATAATCTCAGTAACAGTGAGGAGCTACCTGCCGGCAACGAAGGGGAGGGGCCGGAGCGTCATCCGCGTGACCCGCGTAAGAGAACGTCTAATAATGAGAGAACTTCCACTCTCGGTAAACTTCTGGGTTCTGAACTGTTGCAGTTCCCCTCTGGCTCCATGTGAGGGCGCTCACAGGATGAGAGCAGAATGAATGGAGCTCTATGGAGCTATACCCTCAAAATCCACTTTTCTCAGGATATCATTGTTTGTCTAGTAATTTGAATGTTGCATTCGAAAGGCAAAGAAATTACACATTGCTGGGTGTTAGATTCTTTAGAGTCACTTATTTTCTTTAAAGTCTTTTAAAATGTCAGTGACATCACACACATCGTACGGCCAGAGATACCGCTTTACAGCAAGCCTCGAGTCTCTTTGTGCTTCCTTTTCTCTCGAGGCATCGACGACACAGACGTAACGATCGGCAGATAAAAGTACCAGCAACACAAAAAAAAAGTTTCTGTGTTAAAAAAAAAAAGAACTTGGGCAAAAAAATCCGCCTTAACATTGTGGTCCCGCTTCGGATGCCACGATGCCATCAAGCGGGATCTCTGGTCGTAAACAGTCCTTCACTGACCAATCAGCGTTCATTAGCAGAATGCTAGCGCATTATGGGCAACAACAACTCGTCCTGTAAGAAATCTAAAGGACATAAGAACTCGTTCATTCAACTTTCGACCTATAACCCATGTTGAACTTTAAAAACTACAATCAAATCTGAGATTTCTCAACCACAATCAGGTGAAAGAGACAAATGTAGCCGTCTAGCTCCATCTGCTCCCATTCATTCTGCACTGATGGGAGAGCGCCCCCAGTGGACCTCTGCTGGAACTGCAACCAGTATTCGGTACAATGGGACTTAATAGAGAGAGGCCAGGCTCTCCGTAGACGGGCTCTGGCCGCGTTATCCCGTGTGAGCCGCGTCATAATGCCGACCAATCAGAGCAGACTGGGCTTTTTCGGGAGGGGGGGTTTTAAAGAGACAGGAGCTAAAACCTAGCGATTCAGACAGAGGCTGAAAAGAGGAGCTCAGCTGTAGGCAGTATGAGAAAAATAATGTGTTTTTAAAACATTAAAACATCTAAACCTATTGTAGGAGAGCCACAAAATACAACTAGAAAATTCCTAAAGAAATTTTGAGTGTGCCTGGCTCTGGCACGTGTTTTTAAATAGATCCGATAAATTCCCTAGGAGGAGTTCAAATACAAGGCGAAAAATTCACTGAAAATGAGCACGGACTTCAAAATGGCCAACTTTGACGGCACGCCAAGGACACGCCCTTCAATGTACATGCACAAATAGCACAGCTTTTAATCAGCAACATGTACTGACCAATTTTGAAGCAGATCCGATGAATTCCCTAGGAGGAGCTGTTCAAATACAACGCGGAAAGTTTGCCGAAAGTGAAAATAAAATTCAAAATGGCCGACTTCCCGTGTAGTTTGGGGTATGGGTCCAAGAGGCTTTTTTGTACGTCCCGGCACGTTACACGTGCCTACCGAGTTTCATACATATCGGTGAAACGTGGCGCCGGGGCTGCTTTTTTAAAATGCTGTAGGGGGCGCTACACACACGACAAACACAACTTTTGGTATGTGAGCTACAGGCACCAGTCTACACGTGCCCTGATCAAATCAAATCATGACTGCAGTTAGAGTGTCTTCTTCCTCACAAAATAAATATATATAAATAAATCTAACTAAATATGTATTACTTGTGTAATGTGTAACAAGTTGAAATAGATGGCTAATTAAGAATTTCAGTGTCTTTTGTGACGTTTAATTAGCACAGTAATCCTTTGTCCTCTCTAGCTAGCAAAGCATATTCATTAATTAGCCTTCTAATACCTTCTAATTCTCTTTAGCTAGCTAGTGTAGCAGCATAGACATAGGGCTGTCATGCGGCAGTTAATTGCGCCTGCTGACCATTAGGGCGGCAGTATATAAATACGGCCCTCCTTCTCGCGCACTCACTAACGCATCATTTCCGGGTCAGGTGTTTGCCTGTGCAGGTAATGCTCCATGCCGCTGCTGCGGCTACTGCTTTGTTTCATCTCTTACTGTGTCCTGTTGCTTAAAGCCTGCGTGTTTTCACTGCAGAGCAGCGACCGAGTGCCCCGTGCTTTGTGCTCCATGCTCCGTTTAGACCTTGGTTCTCTCTGGCGGTGGTAAGTGTCCTGTAGCTAACGCTAGTGTGGTCACAGGTAGATGTCCGCTGCCGTGTGGGTCTCTCTCTCCCTCCCTCTCCCTGTGCAGGTTTGACTTTGAAAACAGGTATGCTACCTTAAATCTAACTCTCAAAAGCTTTGATTAATGTAGTTTAGCTATGCTAATGGTATGTTTATTGACAGGGAATGCTCGTCAGCTGGCCGAAATCTACAGGTGGCGATTCACGTGCCTTCACCACCAGCTGATTGGGACCGCTGCTGTTTTGTCTCTGTTTTGTCTCTGCCTTGTCGCTGCTTTGTCAGTGTTTTGTCTCTGCTTTGTCTACACTGATTTATTTACATTGCTTTGTCCGCACCGCTTTGCCTCTGCCGTTAAACACACGGTTGCTGTGTTTATACCGCTTTGTCGACTATATGTCTGCTGTTGTGCCCCTACTGCTAGCTGCATAGCTGTGTCTCTGCTGCTGTATGGACATTGTCCCCTGCTTTGCCTCTGCAGTCACTTATTCCTTGCTGCCGTGTTCTGCGGCTCTGGCTGCTTGGTGGCTTCTGGCTACAGCCGGCTTGCATGGTGAACTGCAGACACCATACTTTTAATCTGTTTATCTCTTTTTATTTTAGCTGAACGATGGTGAGGAGTTAATCCCTTATTTTTGTATTACTTGTTTTGTTTATTGTTTTGATTAACTAGCTTGGTAAGCTTATTTGGTTAACTATTTCCTGCTTTATGTTGTATATTGTTTTTATTATATTATTTATATTTTGTGTTAATTACTTCCATTGTAACTTTTGTTTTCCCTTCTCAGTGGCTGCAGGCTGGTGGTGGTGTCCCTCCTTCTTGTGTGCTGTGCTTCCTTGGATTCGGTGATACCACAGTGTGTGACTGCCACGTGTGTCTGGGTGAACCCTTTTTCTTTAATTTAATTTTGTTGAGTCCCCTTCACCTGCTCTTTCCCCACCAGTAGGCCTCAGCCCCTGATTAGGCTCCCTTTTTCATTTATTGGGATGAATGCTATTTTTTATAATGATAGAGATAGATATAGAGATAGATATAGAGATAGATATAGATAGATATAGATAGATAGAGATAGAGATAGAGATAGATAGAGATAGATAGAGATAGATAGAGATAGATAGAGATAGAGATAGAGATAGATATAGATAGAGAGAGAGAGATAGAGAGATAGAGATATAGAGAGAGAGATAGAGAGAGAGAGAGAGAGAGAGAGAGAGAGAGAGATAGAGAGAGATAGATAGATATAAAAAAAAAAGTATTTTTGTAAACTGTCTTGCCTGTCAAGTGGAACGAACCTGTGTTTTTGGTCAGTGTAAAATAATTCCTTGGGTGCAATTCCCAAGGTGGCGTTGTCGTGCAACCTAAGATTCCCATTGAGAGCTCCACATTTTCTTGCAACCCCCGCCACACTAGCTAGCTAGAGCTAGCACACATAAACAAATTAACCAAAGCTAGCGCTTAGCTACATGCTAATCGCTCCTGAAGGAGTGCTAATGTAAATTAAGGAACAGCTCATAGTAGGGTAAAATATTTAAGATGCATTGCACTTATTTTGTGTTAATATTAAAATCATTCAGCTTTAAATTGTTTGTTTGTTCGCCACCGTATAATTATCTTTAGCTAGCCAGTAGCTAACACTAGCTTATTAATGCCTTAAAGGGAAACTTTGGCATGTTGTTGTCACATAAGGGCCCTGATCATGTTGCACAGACATTTTAATGCATTTTGTGTCTGTTAAGAGGAGCAGAAGGCACTCTTTAGGATATGCCCCCCAAGAAGTGTATTATAACTAACTGGGAGCTCTGGCCATTAGCTGCAGGAACTCCAGTTTGCTAGCACCAGTTTTGGTCGTTGTTTTTCCTATCGACAGTACTCGGTGACCTCTAGTGATCAAGAGTAGGGTAAAAATCTGCTCCCCTTCAATACTCCTCTGTGCTCTCTAGCTAGCTGTGTGTGTGTGTGTGTGTGTGTGTGTGTGTGTGTGTGTGTGTGTGTGTGTGTGTGTGTGTGTGTGTGTGTGTGTGTGTGTGTGTGTGTGTGTGTGTGTGTGTGTGAGAGCAGGCTTTGGTTGTCATGGCAATCAGGGGAGCCCACAGCAGCTGCGCTCTCTCTCTGTCTCTAACTCCTCAGAGAGACAGAAACATTTAAAATGAATCCCCTCGAACCCATGGCCAGGAACGACCGAAATGAAAACCGAAAAGACCGTGAGCGTCGTCATCTTGTTGACTATAGGACTGCCGAGTTTCAGTGGCCAAAGTTAAAAAATGTGACCTGGGGAGATTGAGAGAGAAGAGGTTCAACAAGCTCCTTTCAAGATTTCTTCTCTAAAATTAACATGGGAGTAGATGGGGCCGTGAGAGGGTGTTGTTGGTGCATCAGTGCGTCTCCCGCCAAAACTATTTGTCTGACAGCTTCAGCCGTGGTATTTTTATTATATACATTATTTATTGTATTGGTATTTTATTCCCAACAGATTTACCAACGTTTCTATCTATAAATTATTTCTGTAGAGAAATACATTTGTGGCCTTGAGAGGAGTTTACAAATTTTTCTCTCTCCCTACACTCCAGCCTTTAGGAAGTCAGGTTGTTGTACCATAAACAGTCAAAGTGAATGTTTAGGAAGGAGGTTGTGAAGAATGAATGAGTTCAAAGTCAGTATCATATCTGTCCTTATGATCCTTACTGCCTGAAGTCAAACAGCAGAAGTTCAGTAACAATGTGTGAATATTACTGAGCCCTTTTTGGATGAGTTAAATATGCTACAGTAATCTTATATGTTACTGTTTATAACACAGGGAGTTTATTCATTGTTAGACGAACCTCTTCAGAAAGAAACCTGGGGAATAAATTAAGAGTATACCCCTTTCTCCAGACACCAGTCCACCACTGATTATCCCTTATATGATACTGTGGTAGAAATGTTACTCACGTTGCCATGGTAACAGCTTCACAGCAGCTTCAGGATGGAGCAGTTTATTAGTTCTCTGGAAGAAAGACAAACCAGTCAGTAACCTCTCCTCCTGTCAACTGTAATGTAGTTATTAGTAGATATTATTAGATACTGTATCGTACTGTCAGTGACACAGAGAAAATAAAGTCTAACACAGTGGGTTTAAGTGGTGGGGGGTCAGGGGTCACAGCTCTGTGCCAAGCAAGGAGCATTATGAGATCAATGTAATTAAATGTAAACAGGTACTTGAATCATTTTAGGCACATCACCACCTGAATTGAGTTCAGAAAGAGTTATGTATATATGTGTATGAATATGTATATGTGGGTAGGGGTATGTATTCCTTACTATTATTTTCTTAATATAAAATATTATGTTTTACTGATTTTAATTATATTTAATTTAATTAATCTCTCCTCCACACATTGGTCTTACAACTAAATCTAACTAAATCTCACCAATGACACCAGTGCTCTGTCAGTGTTATTGCACGATGAGGAAACATATTGATGATCATTGATAATTATTTGAAATGAAGCATTTCAGTGTTTTTCTTTTTTTTTCCTCAATCAATCAGACACTGATGGTGCAGCGCCGTATTGTACCTCTAATGATTCAATCCCCAAACTCTCCTCATCACACAGACGTTTCCCTTTCTAAGAAAGTAAAGACAATATTAATTTAATAAACTATCATGTGTCAGGTCTGAACCAATCACACCAGGTCAGTTTCCGGCTGTGTGGAATGTTTATCACTTTAGAACTGAGACTATAAGAATAAAACAGAAGAGGCGGAGAGCTGAAGATTCCTGCTGTACTTGATTGTCTGGTTCTAATGGGAAACGCCTGTGAACTGACAGCACAGTGCGTCTCTCTCCCTGTCAAAAGTCAGTCTAGCTCACCCAGCGGTCTCTCTCTCTCTCTCTCTCTCTCTCTCTGTCTCAACAGGTTAGGTGGATAAGTTTTATTTTCCTCTGATAGGAACAATATACCCACATGTTCCACTTGTAATAAATACAAACTGTTACAGGTAAATAATAAACTCTCTCAGTCTTAAAAAGTAAATGAGTCTTAAAGTCTTAAAACGTTTTAGAAAACGATTTAAAAAGGCATAATCAACCAGTTTCCACAGCACAATATGCATAAGTTTCAGTCAAAGGAAGGCAAGCAGTATCAACCTTTGTAAATAAAAGGCCCAGCTAAAATGACTCTAGGCCGAGCCTTGCTGAGAGGAGAGACTGTGATGTGGGTGTGTATGCTAGAACGTCATGGTTCAGATGGAGCTGAGCGTGAAGGTGAAGCTCTCCATTTACCAGTCGATCTACATTCCAGCCCTCAGGTGTGGTCATGAAATACAAACATACAGGCACATGAAAGGAGTTTCCTTGGCAGGTTTAAAGACTTTCTGAGGTAAACACATTGAGGTATTCAATATCCCAGTGGGCGTGGAGGACGTGGACAGGACGGGGGGGTCTGAACTATGTTACTTTACTTGTTGTTACACTTTATTACTATCAACCTCCAAACAATCCAAACACAAATGATAAAAATGACACAGGGTTCTCCTGGAATTAATCATCCAAAGCATTTTCAATATATCCAAAACAAAGTGGAAAAGCAAGATAGAACCAGGACTTTACGGCTTCTTACAAGTTCCGGTAACGGGAAGCACCAGAAAACAATTTGTTAAGCCCCGACAGTGGGAAAGAGGTGTAAGAAGTAACTAATGGCTTGGTTAACAGTCAATAAATAAATTACTAATGCTTAATGGATCATTTATAAACCATGAATTAAAACATTGTCTTGGTTCCCAGGTTGTGAAAATGTAATTTCATGTCAGTGTTATTGTACAAGAAGGAACTTAACACACTGAAGACATCTATAAATGTCAGTTATAACAAGAGAATCTTTGACCCATTTTAAACCTGATCTTGGCATTTCAAAGTATTTCATGGTTTACAGGCCAGGTCACGGTTTGGTCCCCCTACCAACACTGGCTCCAAATGTTTAGCATTCTGAGGATTGTTTGTAAAAATGTATAATGAGTGGATCCAAGGTATGGAAAACCTGCCCAAACCCGACATGCAAACATGTATATATCATATTTTTCAAGAAGTGTGACTTAATTCAGAGTGGGACATAAGAACAGCCAGACCCATCCCAAACAGACCTATATAATATTTGTATATATAACACATTTTAATTTACTGTTGTCCAGTTGGATACACCATGTTTGATTATTGAAATCATGCATAAAGAACAATGTGATTTTGGAATTTGTTTTTGTTCATCGTCCTCACGTCATCCTCCTTGGTGCTGCTCTTCCTAAGTGCTGGCCACCACTGACTGACTAACACGTTCAACAGAGTCCTGCACACGGTAAAAAGACTTGAGCCTCTTCAGGAAATAATGCCGGCTCTGGTCCTTCTTGTACAGGACATCTGTGTTACCAGTCCAGTCCAATTTGTGCCAATTGCAAAAGTTCTTGTAGCTCTGGGGCAGCTGGGAGCATAGTATCGGATGTAACTAAATTTGTGAGGCAGGTTCAAGGTTCCTTAAAGGAATTTGGACACTGTTAATAAACAATAAAAAATCCAATAAAATTGGACGGGACATTGTTATGAAGATTCCTGAATATTGCAACCCACCCTCTGTCCATTCAAATGAAATCAGGTGGAAGCTGCCAATATATGAACCGGTAGCAGTTTGCTCTTTTGGTCACCAAGGACACATTTTGTTTCCATATTCTAAAATGGATCTTAATGTCTTTAAGCCAGTTAGTGAAAAACTGAGAAGTCCTTTAGTGTATGAATACATAATGTAAGGTGTGGTATTAGGAGATGGTATAATACGGACACATAGTTACAGTCTTACCGGTTGGTGCAGTTTGGAGGGTGGATACAGGAAACATTGTGATTTTCCAGTTAACTGAAGCTTTGTCTCAAATGTGTTCTCTGGTTCACTGAAATCCATCCTGACTGAATCTGTCTGTTGTTAATAAAAACACTGAGGTTGAATTTGGTTTGACTTCTCCACATGAAACAGAAACTAAAGTCAGAATATATTGTGAATGTCAGTATAAATTAAGTTACATAAGATTTAGGAAGGATTCACATCGTTATCCTCACTGTTGCAGAATCAGCAGTCACACATTTGTTCGTGGTCGTAGAGTTTTATCACTTGGTGGCTGTAGTCCCAACATCAGGAAGGACAAACAGTTGATGTAGAAGTTTAGAGTTACATTTATTCATATCTAGTTCAACAGGTTGTCCCTCCACAGTGGAGACAGCCAGAGATATTGTGTTTTCAGACTGTCATAGGAACATCTGGAGGGAGTTTCAATACATCTGGCACAAATGTCCACTGTGACTCAAAGATGAAATTATTTGAATTTGGTGATCAAAGGTCAAAGATTACTGTGACCTCACATGTTTTTGGCCATAACTCAAGAACTAAAAATTTCACACAAATGGATAAAGGATATAGGATACAGGATAAAATAATTCATATCCAAATGGTCAAAGTTCAACCTAACTGTTACTGTTACGCTGCGTTCCCACCAAGGCAAATTCAATTATTTTAGCGAGTAGACTACAAGTCCAACCAAAAGCACGAATATGTGTTTCCTCATGCATTTATCTGGTGATATCTCCTCATCTTAAGTATTAAATCATTCCCATTCTTGCTGTTGCTTCAGGAAGCTCTCCGATGCTGAGGAGACAGAAGGAACAGAGAGCAGCTTTATATCAGCTGAGGGGGTGGAGGGTCTGTGCTCACATGATTTCACAGGA